CAGTTGCCAGGAGTCAACACTGATTTGAAGGCACATAGACACACACACCCAACCCTTTAGCCCTAAACTCATACTTGAATGCTCCAGTTCTGGGAACTGTCTGAGAAAAACCCCAATGCCTTTGTTCCTTTTTGAAACAGAAAAATATTAACTATGTGGTCCAAAGTCTTCACCAAATCCTATCTGGGTCCTCAGTGAAGCTTATGCCTCCCCTTTTGTAGCCAAGATGGATTGGGAAGCTTATATCTAGAGGGGGACTGAGAGACAGAGTTCCTATTGTCTGTAAATCCATTGCTAAGCATCAGCCCCTCTCTCCTCTCTGATCCAGTGGAGCAATTTGATCTTAGGTATCAAGAAATAGATTGAAGGCAGGCCCTGAACAATTTGCCCCTTTTATAGCATTTTAGATGTTATATCGTAATTGATAAGTGCTACTACTTTGCAGAAAATGAAGTAAATTACTTATGCTGGTCTTTGACCATCATAAAAAAAAAGTAAATTACTTATATTTCCCAATCTAGATGAATACTTGAAATAAAGATGTGCATACGTGTAGAGTGTTTTCCCTTAAGAAAGTGTTTCTAAAAAACATTTGGATGTCAGAAACGTGCAGCTGTATTCTGTTCAATAACTCTTGGAAAAAATAATACCTTGTGTTAATTACATCCAAATTTTTCCATAACTTAACTCTTTTACAGAGGAGGCTCTGTACTGCCACCTAGTGATCTGTTTTTCATGACATAATGTTGGCCAAGCAATCTAATAAATAGTGAAAGATCCAACTGTGAACTCTGTACTTCAGTAAATTGATCTCCACAAACTACCTATGAAGTACAGGAACTGTATTTCAGAACTGAAACTAGAAAGTCCCATTCTTTTAGATTGCAAGATACTATTTCATAGCATCACTACTGATGGACTTAATTGCTAACTTACTGACCCCACTTACTTATTCTGATTTTTTCCTAAAATGAAAATGAAGTATTAATTTAAATTGCACAAAGAAAGCAAGTTAATAGGTAACTTAAAATGTATCTCCATTATTCAAAATGTTTAGATTTGCATTGACCTAAAATTACGGCTTGGAAGAACTTATTTTAAATACATTAAAATTTATGGTGCATTGTAAATAGAGCGGCTAAATTGGAGACAAAATACTGTCTTCAGTTTAGCAGCTATATCTACAATGCACCATAAGTTGTCTTTATATGCAGATGATACACTGAGTTTATCTGTACAAAGTATCTGAAGAAAGTGAAGAGTTTCATCCCTTTTCAGGTTATGATCTGATCTGAAGGACAAGTACAAGCAAATACACTGGGGATAAACAGACTTTCAAATATTACGGCTATCCAGGCAGCAAAAAATCAGTGTAATTTGGGAACCCTATGGCAGCCCTGTTGGCTTTCACCGCTTATCCTTCCTATAACAATCACAGATTCTAAGTTACCCCTTGAAAATTACGCTTTCTCCAATAGACGGTGGATAAAAATGAATGATGAGCCGCCTTGTCTCATTCGTTATGAAGATAAAGCTGCTGCTTAAGTTATTACAGCTTACACTTATATAGAATAATATATGCTTACCAAGCAGTGTAAATTCATAATGTGGCATGTATGATAATGCTCTGGCTGAGTTCTTACAGTAAATCACCATGTAGTTTATTTGGTTTGGCTAAGCCTAATGGGTGAATCTTGGTGTTAGGGTTTTTAATAACCCAATTGTAATTTATTTTCTAAACCATTGCTAAATAAACCATGCCTTAGCACAATATGGAAACCAGGTCATAGATTATTATGCTCATTCAAAGAACTGTATGTTAATGCTTCTGTTGGCAACAGTTATCACACTTGGATCAAGCGTAGCAGCTGTAGATGAATTATTACATGTTACAGAAGGTTGAGGACTAAGGGCAGATTGGACATACTAAGGTGCCTTCTTGCAACAACCCTGGAAAGCTGATTATACTCACAGGTATAATCCCAACCATTCTCCTGATTATTACTAGTAAACATTCATCCTATATAGCAGATAAAACAGATGTGCCTCAGCTGATTCATGTAAGATATTGCCATAACCTTTCCAAATGAGCATTAAACTAAATGTTACATGCAAATATATATAATGAAAAACCTGTTAGTTTACTTCTTAATTGCAGAGCAACATGACATATAAGATCTCTGGAAGCAGAAGAGCAGTAAGGGAAGGAACGTGTTGAGTAATTTCTTATCTGCTACTTTCTCCCTTCATTCCCCTCTCCCAGTAATTTTGCTATGTTCTAAGGTTTCAAGTAAGATGCAATTATAATAAGTAATTTTGCATATCAACTGAACTCAGATTGTATTGATTCCCATTGTTCAATTGTGAGTAACACATTCTTTCCCTATTTTCTGTTTTAACCCTGTTGAAAGAATACACTTTTAGGCTTCAGAGAAAAACAGACCGGATTCACACATCACACAGCCATTATATGGTTTGTTTGATTTTAGCATACATGATGTGTGAACCCAATCATTGTGGTATAAACATAGTTTATGGCTTAGTTTTACATGTGAATGACACCATAGTAGTGTCCTCAATAAAATGGTGAAAACATACCATGGCTTAGTACAGTGGGTGAATCTACTTCAAAATGTAATTTTCTGGAGCCATAAACTATCCAGAACTGGAGAATTAAGGCTGAAATTAAGCTTTAGTTACAGATATTTGTTAGAGTTGCTGGGATGTACTCATTAGTAACGAACATTGACTGTGTTCAGTTATACTTTACATTTATTGAATCTTGTTTGTGAAAGGGGCAGTACATAAAAGAAAATGTATGTTCAGACTTAGGTGTTGGAAATGTTCACAGTGAAATTACCGTTACATGCGTAGTATAAGAAATTTAGTGGCTGATTTGCATCTTTGCAGGCTTTTTATTCCAGTGGGCTTAGTAAGCACTTAGGCAGAATTCCTAAATGCACTTTCTTAGAAATTAATATCATTTACACAAATGGGATTTTAATGTAAATGGATTTAGGACTGGGTACTTAGAAAGCAATGGTGCCAGTAAAATTACTGGCATTTTGTATTACTGGAATATTTGAGGATATTTCTAAGTATATTTATCCACAGCAGAGTCAGTGCTACTGGGGGAACAAATGCCTTTACTGTACTTCTTCCCATCTGCTGTAGAGATTCAGAGACCTGGAGAAGATATGGGAAGTATAGGGAGACTGCAGGAGAAGGAGAAGGAATGGGTGTCAGCATGCATGTTAGCCTCCCAGAGTCATGCCTATGAGATGGGTAGCCATATGCATTTATTAAACAAACAAACATGACATTGGATTGTTTCCTTGGTTTAAATCATCACAGTTACCTGGAAGTTCCAGTGGGCTTTCTTTCAAAAACATATTTCGGCCTGAAGAGTCAAATTTTGTTTGAGATCTTTTTTGTATAATTTCATTATAACCCAATGTAGGCAAATGATTTTATATATTCTGTTTCTGTAAATGAAAGGCAAGAAACTGAAGTGCTGTTGTTCGTGCAGCCTCCATTTATGTGTTAAAACATTTATATCCCATCCAGTGGTATCCCTGGGGAAGTGTAGGAAAAAAAAGAGATGGCAATCAAGGCACCGTGATTGAAACCCTACCTCTTTGTACATGCATGTGATTTTGACACACATACAAAAGGGATGGGGCTTTGACTGCACTGCCCTGACCTCTATCTGAACATTTTGACACACCTTCCCCTGATGGATGCTGGCAATCCCACCTTTTCAGTCCATTTGCAGGCCCCAGGATTTAAAACAGTTTAAAAACAATAAAATCAAATAGAAATTTCACATCTGGTAGCAAAAATAAAATCAGCAATAAAAGATAATTATTGAAGGTAAAACCAGTCTAAAAACAAAGAGGACATTAATGTGTTTGTTATAATTGTCCTAGGGATGGGTACATTGGAGACAGTGTTCAGACTCTGTCAATACCTCTTTTAGCTTTATGAGCCTGAAGTTTGATGATTTACCTAGATCTAGAAATAAGATTTAGAAATCCATTCTTTAGAAAACGGATAACTTCAGTTGATACCCTATGCATGCATTATGCCATTTTTTAAGCGTACACAAGAAACCTGACAGACATATTTAGGAAAGTATCCAGTCTAAACATAATTAATAGTACATTGTTAATTGTTTCTAATATTCTTTTTTAATTAAAGAGCATTTGACTCCAGCTACAAACTTATTCTATTTATCATACTGTACAACAAGAACCAATGAGTTAAGAGCTTAGTAGCCTTTAATATATGAAACTATATTTAAGGCTGGCTAAACCAACTAATCCTGAATTAGTAAAATTTTATCTGTTTATTCTGTTTATTTATCTGTTTATTATTTATAAATAAATGACTTGATTGGAGATTGATTTAATGACTTTAATACAGATTTAAGATTTGAATACAATTTTACTGATTGTATGATTAAGGCCTTGGAATGTGGGCACAGCCTGGGATATGAATGGATTCCCTTGATTATACATCCCTTTACTTTATTATAATCTTGTAAAAATATGATTATTTTCATGAGACTGAACAGATAGCTCAGATTACTTTATAAGACAGTACCAATTCTATTTAACATACATTAATTTCTTAGGAACAGTTGATTAGGAACAGAACATAGGAAATTGTCTTCTATTAACTAAGATCCCAGTTCACCTAGCTCAGAATTATTTCCATTGATAGTTAGTAGGCCTCTTGGGTGGGGAGGTTCAGAAAGGAGTTTTAGACATGTGGTACCACTCATCCAGTGGTGTCAGTCTCTTACAATGCTTCCCTTCAGACAATGTGTTACTGTTTTATATGATTTGGTTAAGGAAAAATTTTTGGTAAAATGAAAAATCAACATTTCTGCATATTGTTTTCTGCCTGCTATGTATCTTGTGATCAGTCTCTGTCTTCTCAACACTCTGGCTCCATGTTTAATAAGTTTTCTTAAACAGCCATAAATAATAATTGGAACCCTGCTTATTAGCAGTATGAAGCTGGCATTTGAACATTTGGTGGGCTGTCCAATCATTACCTACAATATATCTATAATGGCCTTACAGTAAAGTAGTCCTAAAGTGGAACAGGCCCAAGGGTGATCCACTAGTGGAGCAGAAGTATGGAAGAAGCAGTATTTATTGCCTTTTCTATTTCTCTTTATAAGTAACTAAATAAATTCCTCCAATTGCTTAGGATGGGAAGAAAAGGGGAGAGAGACTTTATATCAATCCAACAACTGGAGGGCTTTGGACAAGCACACCTAACTTTCAACCACCATGATGCCACCCTAGTTCAGGTGGGTTCTGATTCCTAACATCAACCAAACCAGCCACAGAAAGGGGCAAGATTTTTCTCTCTCAGACATCCCATTCTACTCCTCCAGTTAGCTGTGCTAGCTATAGTTATGGCTGCCAGATTCTGTCTATGTTTGGTAGTATATTGTGGTTAATATCTGCTGCCCTCTTTGCCTTTTAATCACAATTTTTCATTTGTTAATGGTTTTTTATATGACTGTTTTATAGTTTTTATTGTATGCCACTCAGAGTCATTTTTTAGTGAGATGGGTGGTCATATGAATATGATGAATAAATAGTGTGTTACATATATCTTTTACAAAGTATCACCCAACCATTCTTGTGAAGGGATTGTAGTTCAGATACACACACACACACACACATGTTGAAGGACCAGTTTCGTCCTGGCATTTGAGGTAAGCCTCGAAAAAGTCCTCAAGGGCCACTGTCAGTCACTGTCAATACTAATAGGTTAAAGGGATAATGGTCCGAATATAGGACCGCTTCTTACGGCTCCATGTTTCTTTCAGCACCTAATTCATCACACATATTGATTTAATGGGTCCTGCCAAGCCTGTTTGATTCACATGGAATTAATGAAGTTAGACCAGGGACTGTACAGGGGAGCTGGAATGTTAAGATGTAACATACTTGAGGAGCAATGAGCAAACGCAGTGAAGTATATGATACTAACAGCATTATTTGCCCGGTAAACCAATCTTTGTCTGTTCTGTTTACAAGTCTGCTGAATCAGACCTTTCCCCAGGGTTTTCTGCCTTCCCCAAGATGACGATGGGGGAGGGAGCAAAGGGACAGGAGAAGGGCCTGCTCTCCATACTGTTATTTGTGGAACACAAGAACGCCCAGTGTAACTGTACAACCCTATCCACCTATCCCTTCGGGGTGAAGGGCTTCAGCTGACTGACAACATTTATCAGGCAGACCAAGAAGCTGCTGTGCTTGAAGAACAATACCACAAAGAAGCAGGTAGAGGTACTCTACCCTGTAAATGCTGGTTTGTAGATTTAATTAGATATGCTAGAAGTCAAAATCTTTTAATTGGAAAAACATTATGCCCTGCTTACATGGATCATGAGGAAAATGCACATAAGAGAAATATTGCCCAGCACGGTGAGGATGCTAATTGTATGGCGAATGGTCTGTTACTTCATCAGCCTCAAAGTAAGGAGGAGATGAAACAAAAACACATGTCATCTTTTTTTCTTTGCGAGGTAATACAAGTAGTCACTTTTACTTTTATGCAGAGGGTGAAGCTTCCAGCACAGAATGTGTCCTTTCCCCATCCCCCTCTAACATAACGGGCAGAGCTGTCTCCTCCCCACCCCTTACTGGAGTGTAGTTTCGCACAGACGCGCGGCTGCGCTCGCTCTCTCTTACACGCTCGGTCGCTCTCATACTGAGTCTGTCTGGCTTGCTGTCTCTCTCGAGCACGCACACCCACCAATGCACACGCAGGCGCACACACAGGGAAGTAGGAGGAGAAATGCAAACGTAAAAAAGGGGGGGGAGAAATCTCAGTTGCACTTCTGGCCCTTTTAAAAAGTTTGTGTAAATTGGAATGAGGTCAGATTTGGAGCTTCTCATTGCACGCGGTTATTAGGTTCCAAGCCAATCGGAACTGAGGGGAGGGGTTTTGGCACGATGGAGCGTTGGATACAGTCTATGATTGGCTTAGAAAAGAACTGAGGAAGGATAAAGCTGCACGAGGCGGAATTGAGCACCGCTCTAAGCTGCAGCAAGAGAAAGTGTACGTAGTGGGGCGGGGGACAGGCCAAGTCTGTAGTCCCGGTTTGTACATGTGTCTTTCTTCTTTGGGGGGCTGTGCATCTACAGGCAAGCAAGACGGGACTATATACATTTATTGCACCAGTCACTGTTTTTCCTCTCGGGAAGACACACGTTTATTAATGCTACTTGCTTGCATGAGCGGGGCTTTTTCCCCCCAGCTGACTCCCTGGCAGCCGCTGAATAATAATAGAAAAAACTCTTGATCCCTCTAATTACGGGTTCTGGACGAAGATTTTTTTATTATTATTAGTTTCGCTTGGTGAGGTGGGCATTTTATTTTTTTTTCTTTGTGGTTTTTTTTTGTGTGTGTGTCCTTAGAAGATTTTTAGCAGTGGGCGTGCTGCTTCTGCCGAGACACCTCAAGTACTAGGAGAAGGTGAAAGACAAAAAAAAAAAAAAAACACTTGTGAACGCCGGGGTGGGGGAAGAGGTGGAAAAGAGAGAGACGGAGAACTAGGATTGGCGGCTGTGTTTTTTTTTTCCTTTTTTTTCAAAGAAAGGCACTCTTTCCACTTAGAGCCTCCCAGTGCAAAGTTGCGGTGAAAGGCGTGCGAAAGTGTCGGAGAGGCAAACGCGGTGTGGAGCTACAACTATTTCTCGGAGGGAGTCGTGCCTTAAGTAGCGGGGGACGAAGCGCTTGCGAAGGGGGCTCGAGAGCTCCGACTGACTGGCAAAGTTGAGTGTTTTGTTTCAAGCGGGTGCCAAGCTGAGCCCCGCCGACTCTCCCGCAGCCGCTGCGGCGCGCGCCGACCCCCAAAATGGTGCAACAGACAAACAACGCGGAGAACACGGAAGCACTCCTGGCCGGCGAGAGCTCGGACTCGGGGGCCAGTATCGAGCTGGGCATCGCCTCTTCTCCGACTCCAGGCTCGACTGCTTCGACGGGGGGCAAAGCGGACGATCCGAGCTGGTGCAAGACGCCCAGCGGGCACATCAAGCGGCCCATGAACGCTTTTATGGTGTGGTCTCAGATCGAGAGGAGGAAGATCATGGAGCAGTCCCCGGACATGCACAACGCTGAGATCTCCAAGCGCCTGGGCAAGCGTTGGAAGCTGCTCAAGGACAGCGACAAGATCCCTTTCATCCGGGAGGCGGAGCGGCTGCGCCTCAAGCACATGGCGGACTACCCCGATTACAAGTACCGACCCAGGAAGAAGGTGAAATCGGGCACGAACTCTGGGAAGCCGGGTGAGAAGAGCGGGGGTGGAGGGAGTGGCGGCGGCAATCAGGGAGCAGCCGCCTCCGCCGCTGCTTCCAACTCTTCTAAACTCGCCCAGAAAAAGGGCAGTGCCGCCAAACTCTCTCCCAGTGGCGCCGGCAAGCCGCATCCCAAACTCAGCCTGAGTGGCGGCGGCGGCACGAAAGCTCCGTCCTCTTTTGCATCGGAACAGCCGGCTGCCCTCCTGCCCCCGGAGCACCATTCTTTGTACAAATCCCGCGCCGCCTCGCCGGGCTCCTCCTCGCCCTCCAGCAGTAGCAGCAGCAGCAGCAGCCACAGCAGCCGACATCTCCCTGAGAAGAAGGCCAAGCGGCTCTACCTCTTCTCCCACTCATCGCCCGGCGGCGCCGTTCCGGCCAGCCCGACCCTCAGCACTTCCACCGAAGCCAGCGACCCGCTGAGCCTCTACGACGAAGTAGCGGCTGTGGGCAGCCGGCAGGACGGGGGCGAGCCCTCCGCTTCCCCCGTGGGCGGTTGCTCGCCATCGGACCACCGAAGCTACACCAGCCTGCGGGCGCCCTCGCCCACACCGTCGACCTCGCACTCCTCGTCAGGTTCCTCCTCCGCCTCCTGCGCTTCCTCCTCCTCGGATGACGAGTTCGAAGACGACCTGTTGGACCTCAACCCCAGCCCTGGTTTCGACAGTATGGCGCTGGGGAGCCTGAGCTCCTCGGCCCTCGACAGGGATCTGGATTTTAACTTGGAGCCTGGCTCGGGCTCTCACTTTGAGTTCCCAGACTATTGTACCCCGGAGGTAAGTGAGATGATCTCGGGAGACTGGCTCGAATCCAGCATTTCCAACTTGGTCTTTACGTACTGAGTGGGGGGACGAAGCTGCTCAAGAGGAGAGCAAGCGGTGCGCGCGGGGAAGGGAAAGAGACGCGGACATGGCACTCGGACCCAGGCGCGCTGCAAAACTGAAGAGCGAGCCTTTCGCCCACAGTCGTTGAGTGCGCCCCCCAGCCCCCCCGTTACTGAAACTGACTTGAGGGGCGGGTGTGCGCGCGCTTTTATCGCTAACGCGGCAAAAGGGATCAACGCGTTCTTCGCCGAAAAAGCCACCACAGAAATATCTAACTACATCGATCCCCACCCCCTTTTTTTCCACGTTTCATCCTTCTTTTGCAGCCGAAGAATGAGAAGCACGTTTCAGACTCTGGTGAGAATCTAGTGGCTTAAACAGGAATGGCAACTACAGCAGGAGGGGGTGGAAATAGCGCACATCTTTGCTTCTTGTTGGAAGGGTTTGGAGGGACGGGAAAAGGTAGATTCTGCTATGTGTATTAGATATGTCTTTGGGTTAGGAGCTAAAGCTCGTGTGCTTTAAACAGACCTGCAGCCAATTTGCGTTTTTGGAGGGTTCTCTCTCTATACATCAAAAGGGATGAGGGAGGAGGATGGCCCTGGGAACTGGACTGAATCCTAAATGGAAGGAAAAGGAGAGGCAAGCATTTTAAAACGAACTGGAAATTCGGCTGAAAACATGATAATAATAAAACCGAAAAGGATTTGCACGTTTATGGGAGAAGGTGGTGCTGATTCTCTAAGTCACATTACCTTATATTCATAGAAGTCATGTGGAATTTCAACAACTTTTTTTTTTTTTTTAATGGAGACAGATATAGAACATACCAAGTTTCTGTAATGATGTGGTACAGGGGAAATTGAGGGCGATTGCTCTTTCTTGCAAAAATGTGTTTTTCTTACTCAGAATTGTGATGGTGTTGGATTATTTCTCTGGTGGGGTTTAATATAGCATGTTATCCTATCTTTTGGAGTTTTTTGTAAGACTGTTGAACAGTTTAAAAAGAATAGTGTTAGAATAATATAAAAAGCAGATAGATGGCGCTATGTTTGATTCCTACAAAAATTATCACCAGCTTTTTTTCATTCTTAACTCTTTAAAGGATTCAAACGCAACTCAAATCTGTGCTGGACTTCAAAAAGAACACAGGACCAAATTTTTCCTCAGTGTGTGTGTGTATGTGCGTGTGTTCCTCTGTAGCTGTAAATGAAGACTCTTTTCACACCAGGATTCATTCTTGAAATGTTCTTTTTCTTTCTAAATGGAATTGGATGCCATTTTATAAGTGAAGTATTTATACTGGCCAAATGTTTTTACTTGTATTCCTTTGTCTTTTTTTTTTTTTTTGGTAGTTCTGTTTGTTACCCACACCATTTTTATGTCACCTTCACTGAAGGGCTAGAGTTTTAACTTTTAATTTTTTATATTTAAATGTAGACTTTTGACACTTTTAAAAACAGAAGAGAAGATGAAAACGTTTGATTATTTTCTCAGTGTATTTTTGTAAAAAATATATAAGGGGTGTAAATTGCTGTTTTGGATTTCCTGATTATAAATAGGGCTGCTGGTTAATCTCTCACACAAAATCAGTCCCTACTTTCATCATGTTTACACTCCAATCTGCAGGCTTCTTAAAGAGACAGTATCTCTTCTATCTACCGATTCAACTCTACTTGTGAGTTGAGAGAGGAATTGAACTCTAATCCACTGTAGGGCTAATTTCTAACAAATCCTCCCTCAAAATAAACGGTATGTTGTATTGAGCAACAAGAATATTTTTCAGGAAAAAGGGATCCTGTAGCTTTAACTTCAAAACCACATCTTTTGCACTTTTTGTAAGCAAAAAAAAAAGTAAACAAAAACCATGCCATTTAAATCACTGGACCTATCTAAATGCCGATTTGAGTTTGCAACACTATGTACTGCATTTTTCATTCTTGTATTTGACTATTTAATCCTTATACTTGTCGCTAAGTATAATTGTTTTAGTCTCTTATGGCATGATGATAGCATATGTATTCAGGTTTATAGCTGTTGTGTTTAAGATGAGAAAAAGTGAAAACATCTTTGTACATTTAAGTCTGTATAATAATAAGCAAAAAAGATTGTGTGTTTATGTATGTTAATATAACATGACAGGCACAAGGACATCTGCCTAATGAAGAGGTTCCGTTAAGGGTTTTTTCTCTTTTCTTTGGTTTTTTTTTTTGGTTTTTTGGTCATCCATCCTGTGCAATATGCTGTGTGGAATATCTTTGTTTAACAATCTGCCCATAATACAATGGTGGGGTGGGGTGGGGAGGGGAGGGAAAAGCTGGCTAATAAAGCCGAGTTCACTGCCTGTCAGATTGTCCATATTCTTTCTGTAAATAACCTTTTCCCCAAAGGAAATAAAATCAGCTGGAACTGAACCCTAAAACCCTGCTGGCTCTTGTCATTATTCTAGACTTTGTGGCTGTGTATTTTTGCACTGTCAGTAAAAAATATTTTACAGTGATGGGTCTCATATGCAGAGCTGTTAATACAGAAACTTGTCCCCTTTCCCTCCCCTCCCTGCCAGCTGAAGCTTCATCTCTTTGTGCATCTTTGAGTGTATTCTGTGCTTGCATGCTTTCTAGGAATAGGCATGTATTAAGGAAATGTTAATAGCATTTTCAGTGGAAGACCAAAAGACTAGAATGGGATATGGGCTTATGTTCACAGAAGGCTATTGTAGGGAAAATGCAGCTATAAGGAATGTGCTTTAAAAGGTCCCATTAACCATTTGTCCTATCAGTATGACCTTGCAATGTGAAAATCCTGCCTTACATCCCTTCAATTCTGATTGGGTGTTCTACAGTAAAAAAATGGCCAAGATACTTCTAGGGTTCACAAATGGATTTTATAGCTGAGTAATTATATCAAATTTCCATTCCAGTCTTCAATAAAATATAATTTAAATGTTCTTAGCTTGGCTCATTGCCAAAGTAACATGTTAAACTTGTTTCCCTTTTCTAGTCTTCCATAACCAATTGCAATAGACCCAATAACAAAAAGCACAGGGAGCTGGGGAAGGGAAATGCACACTATGAACAATATTTTTCTTGGTATGGTCTCTCTTCAGGGTATCATCTGGCCGTTTTGTCTTTTATATAACCCCTTTTCAAGCGAATGTGAAATACTAGGTCATTAGGTGAAGTATTGTGGCAGCTTTGATGAATCTTAGAATATGTACTGCAGATCAATATGTGGGGAGGGAGGAACTGCCCACATAGACCTGAACTCAGTCTTGGAATTGAATTGTACTGTAAATATATACGCATTGAATATATCACTAGTCAAAAAGTTTCTGTCCTGATCAATTTTTTAAAGCACTTAAATGTTAAATCCTTAATTGGAAATATTTTATACTGTGTTTTTCAAAGTACAAACCACAATGTTTCTTTTTTAAATGACATTTGCCTACCAAATACTGATATGGTTATTTATTAGAGAATATCACCAAAAAATTCAACAAAAATGGTTACATTCTAGCAGACAATGTTTCAGTGATGAGTTTGTGTAATAATGGATTGACACTGTCCTACTGGATTCCTAGAGCACAATAGATGGGCTCTGTTTGCATGACATGTTTACCTATTGTTCACTTGACCATGGTTTATATAATCTTTTTTTCTGTGTATGCAGGACCTAGTGAACCATGAATTACATGGGTTAGGTTTGTACAACCCACCAGGGTAAAATATGGTTTGGTGGATTTTTTAATGAACTGTTGAACATAACCATGAACTAAGGGCAAAGGGATGTTTGATTTTTAAACAAGGAGCAGTATACTTTCAGCATCAATAAAACAAGCCAATGTTTACAACACAGCATATGTTTTCGTTTTACAAAGATTGTCAGTCTGCACAATTAAATGAAATAATTGGAAAAATGTTTCAGAATATAGTTGAATCCTCTGTAGCTTATTTCATAAACTACCTTCCCTAAGATTTTTGTGCATGAAGGAACATTCAAACATGCAGTCTGCAGCCTTATATTCTGTGTATTACATATTTCCTCAAGGTTAACTTTTGGAATCAAACCAGCATTCTAGGTTTGCATACCACATTGAACTGACCGTATGGGCTAGACTAAAATGTGACCAATTAGTTTGTGGTGTGGTATACTCCATGAATGTAGATAGAATCTTACATAATATAATTCAAATAAATTCAACTAGTCCACTAGCTTTGTGGGGAATCTTTTGGATTATCAGCATGGGATGCATAGTAACCAGCTGTTAGAAAGCTTTGAGCTTTCTAATTTTACAGGTAAATGAGGGAATTAACTGCTCATGTATTAAGTAAAGGCTATATTCTTGACGTTTCTAATGTATGTAGGGACAGGAATTTAATGCTAATCAAAAGTCTCCGCTCTTCCATATTCTTAAACCCTCTGACAATATATATATTCCAGTTTAGCAAAGAGATTCAGAAGAATTTTATTAAAATGGGGTGCAGATATTAAAAATACTGGTTTATCCATACACATGTTCAACCACAGATTAGTTCATTGATACTATGCAGCATTTAACATACTGGACCAGGATGCAGGGATCCAGTTCCAAATTCATACTCAGCCATGGAAACTCATAAATGATTTTGGGCCAGTCACTTCTTTTAGTCCAACCTATAGCGCAGGACTGTTGTGGGGACAATATGGAGGGACAATCCTGTGTGAGTCACTTAGAGTTGCTGGAGGAAAAAAATGGGATAAATCTAATAAAATCAGCTACATTTTAGCCCAGTATATTATATGGTTACTTTAGGATTCAATCTGCCATTAAATTGAGCCAACTGAGTACACTGAATAAACTATGATCAACTTAACTGTGAACTGCGTATTATGGGAATAAAACCAAAGAGGATCATCTCATCCCCTAATGTTTACTCAGTTTCAGCACTCAAGCTGGACTAAAATAGCCATTTACTACTTGAAAGTTAAAGAAGATGCTTGCTTTTTTTCCTCTTCATCCTCCTGAAACCATTCCCGCTGTAGACTTGTGACTGAGTCTCTCTTCTATCCCAGAATCTGAGTATTCTGTGGCTGTATAGTGGATAGAGAGGAGAATATTTTAAGTTTACCACACATATCCCCAGACTTTAATGCTCCTCTCTAGGATCCTGTAAACTGTCAGGACCGCAAACAGACTTCCTCCATGTTCCTTTCTCTGTCTCAATTGATTCTTTAAATATTCTATGGATAAACTGCTGTGAACCACAGACTTAATTGCTAGTCACACAAGTTGCTAAAATTCTTGTATTTTTAGCCTCTTCCGGATAGGATGCACAAGGCACATTGAGCCACAAAATAGCCAAGCACATTTTTGCCTAGTGTGCGGAGTCCTGCCCCTGTGATTTTAATGTGAATAGGCTGCTGCCTGAATTGTGTCGTCCACTATAATAAGGCTTAAACCACATTACTGATGATACTGTAATTGACTCTCTAGACAATGATTTTGACTTAATTTTGTGGGGGTGGGAGGTGGAGAGGCCTTTAGCTGTTCCTCCCATGCCATTTTCCAAATTACACTGCTGGTCTCTTCCTCCAGTGCTATTTCCTGATGCATGGAAAAAGCTTTGCATTGTGTTTTCAATCAAGCAATTGTGTTTGTATATACTAACCCATAAAAGGGACATTGTACAGAGTGGTAGAGTTAAAAATTCTCTTTACTAGCTTCATGGTAACTCCCAAGTCACATGTCAAGAGATTCAATCACAGACAATACAACAATAACTGATTTTGCCCTCTATATTTTCCTGTTAAGCAGTTTACATCCTGGTTTGCATGTTCCTAAGATGGTGGCATCACATTTTATGAGTGAATATTTTAGTTTAAATCATTTGCAAAATAGAATTCTAGTACAACTGAGTTTGAAGGCCTTTATGTCAATCCTCCATCCAAATGCACGTATGCCATGCAACTACAGAATCTTTGACATGCCTTTGTAGTCTCTGTTAAATAAAATATCAGATGTAAGAATATGCCTCACTAGGGAATATTTCTTACCATAGCAAACACAATTTGAAATTTTAGGCAATAGATACTAACCTGTTGCCTAGCACCATTGGTAGTCTGTGAAGGCACTGTATGTGATCCGTGCTGTGGATGCCACAATAAATTATTTTATTTCCAAATGGCCAGCATCTGAGATAAGCAAATCTTACATTTCAACTTTCTCACCCATAGTCTTGCAGTATTTCAGAAACATTAAAAACTCATGGGTTCTATTTATTCATTAGATTTATATTCCATTTTTCATTCAGGGGCTTGAAGTAGCGTACAGAGTGTTCCATCTTTTATTTTCCCCCCACAACCATGTGAGAGATTGGGCTTAAAAATGATTGGCCCAAAGTCAGTCAGAAAGTTATGGTGTCTAGAAGTGGACTCTCTCTGATGCCAACCCAATACCTTAACCCAGAGGTTTACAAACTTTCTTGGTTCACAGCACCCTGGTGGTTCTAAAACTCTGCTGTGGTGTCCGGAGCCGCACAGCAGTTCCATTTACTATGTAGTAACATATCCTGCTGTGTCCCTGTGAGTTTGGGAAACATGGCCTTAACCGTTACACTGCACTGATTCTCTTAATTCTTTGGGGGGGGTCTGTGGAATTTGGTGATGTGGCACCTGTAAATACCACATTGCCAACTCTCTGGGTTATGTGGTAGCCCTCAAAAGCTTTTAGTGATTAGGTAGTGGTCCACATGAAAATTAAGGTTTAACCTATTGCACGAGGCTAAAAATTTTGATTAATAAGGGTGAGTGCCCTGAGATTTTATCCCTTGTCGCGTGCTGTTTTGTAACCAATTTTTGGTTAAAGCAGTGTTTCTCAGCCTTGGAAGCTTAAAGATGTGTGGGCTTCAACTCCCAGAATTCCCTAGCCAGCATTGCTGGCTGGGGAATTCTGGGAGTTGAAGTCCACACATCTTCAAGTTGCCAAGGTTGAGAAACAGTGGGTTAAAGAGTTGAAATGTGGATTCACAAGTGGAAAGCATGCTTTGGATTAATAAAGTATATCATTTACATATCTCTGGGAAAGGCTTGTCTATTTGAAATTACAACAGAAGAAAAGGAGGCCTTAAAACAAATGTCTCTAAGATGCAAATGCAAATAGACATGCAGGATAGTGCTTGGCTTAAGAAAGAATACTTGTTTGCAGGAGTGCTGGTCCATTTAATTACATTTGGTGGGGCGGTTCTGGACTGATGTGCCTGATGGGAAAGGGTAGCTGGGGGTCAGGAACTGATTTCACCATTTGTGAAAATTTGCACTACTCTGATTCACCTTGGGTACAAAAAACAAATGCAAGTGGATGGTAAGCAAAAATGGGTGGAAGAGCCTACTTGTAAACGGAGGCTGCTCATGCAAAAAGTGTGTCCTGAAGATCTCCTCCTCCTCCCTCCCTTCCTTCAAGTCAGTGTTGACTCCTGGAGAGATCCCTCCAGTTTTCTTGGCACAGTTTTTCAGAAGTGAGTTGCCATTGCCTGCTTCCTAGGGCTGCGAGAGAGCGACTGGCCCAAAGTCACCCAGTTGACTTTGTGCTTAAGGCAGGACTAGAACGCAGTGTCCCAGTGCCTTAAGCACAACACCAAACTGGCTCTTCTATGTTCCAGCTTTCTCCCCCAAAATGGATTCTTAAAGTAAGAGAATGCTGAATTCAGAAATGACTTTTTCAGGAAGAAGTTGCTTTGGAAGATAAATAATTATTATAGAAGATGAAGGATGGATAGTCATCACCTGAAAAACTGATATTTTATATTGTCAAAAGATTATGTAAAACTCATGCATACACCAACCCAGCACAATCAGACTTGTGGGAAAAGGCAAGGTTGATTTTAGTGAGAAGGCAGGATACTTCTGGAGAAATAATATAGTAACTGAAGAATTATTAAGTTCTAAATAGAACTTGGGTAAATAACAACCATCTGTTAATAAACATAGACTAGGAAATTACAAGATGGTTCTTTTAGCATCAAAACAACAGCATTCAGATAGGCTCTCAGACCAAACATTAAAGAATTATTAAGATGGATAATTTATATGATCATCACTTAGCAGGGTTCATATATTGACAACATTAAGCCACAATGTTTTAACCATGGTTTTCCGAATAAGACACAAAGGCTTATTTCAGATAACATATTAAGTTGAACAATGTTACAGGATTTGCATAATGTATGAACCCAAACAGTCTTATTGGTGATGACATTATTGCAAAAATGTGGGTTATATGAGAAGAACAACCGATAGCATTCCACTGGGTGCTGCTATAAATGGATGTGGATCTTTGCATTAATAGAAAAATGCATTCTTGGATTTTATCAGCAAAGGAACTAATTAAAAAAAAAATTCTGTCTGGCATTCCTTTATTATGTGAATCAAAGTCCGCAATATGAATCATTTTAGAAAGATTGGCTTTGCTGCGCTATGGATAAATTCTTCTTGTGTATTATTTAATATCTGGTTCCCCCAGAAAGCACAATTTTATGTATTTATTTATAAGATGTCCCAATCCTGAACGACTCTAGGCAGCTCACAACCACAACAAAAGAACTTCGACTGGCGGGGTCCAGAAGGCGGGCCTTCTCTGCGGTAGCCCCTGCTCTTT